AACTAAACCTATTAATTTATATATTATTATTATTTATTTGGTTAAAATTAATATGTATGTATCGTTTTGATTATTTTGAAAATGTTTGTGTTACAATTATTTATATATATATATATATTTATATATATATATATATATATATATATCATTTTTCACACTTAGAATAAGGAGACTTAAATCCTTGTGATATCTTATTTGAAAACATTCTTTGGAAAACATTTTTTTTTTTGCAAGAATAGGTTTAGTAACATTTGTCGTAACCTCAAGAAAGATTTCAAAATTTGAATTGATCATCTTATTATTGGAGTGATAAGATAAGCTACTTTGGTTGATTACCTACTCTGATTTGTTTTGTACATTAGGTGAATTTGTTCATTAACTTCTATGATTTTTTTTTCTTAAGTAGGTTTCTTATGAAAGGAAAATCTTAAAACATTGTACTACAAGTAAATGTTTCTTGGACTGCAAGAAGTGGTTTCTTTAATAGTGTAAAAATGTATTTCATGTGGTATTGTGATTGTAAAATTTGTGATATTAAAGATTAGTGAAAAATCTCAATTGGGTTGATTGGAGATGGGATGTAGGTCATGAGTTGATGTGGTTGAACTAATATAAATTGGTTGTGTGATTTTCTCTATCCTTTTACTTGTATTTACATTCTTGCAATTCTAATTTTATGCTTGATGTTATGTGGTATGAATCATGAACATTGCATATAGATCTGAGTGAATTTGAATTTGCATACAATCTCAACTTGATACACTACTAGAAGGATTGTATTCTAAGTCGGTTATTTTGCCATATCTACATCGGTTTTAAAACCGACTTAGATAAGGCCGTCGTAGATGAATGATCATATCTAAGTCGGTTTTTACGTCAGCGTAACCGGAAACCGGCAACTTGAGTTCCCTCAAGAGAGTGAATGCCTCAGACAACCTCTGCTTGGGGACGTGGCGCGCCACGGGGCAATTCGGAATCCAAGAATCCAAGGCATAGTCATCACCGATTTCGACGCCTTCTTTTCTGATAGCGTCACAGAGCTGTGACTGAAGGTGGAGGAGGGCGAGGGTGGGAGTGGGGGCGAGGAAGAAGAGGTTGTCGGCGTCGTTGGGGAAGGTGGCGAGGGATGAGAAGGAGAGAGGGAGAGGGTCGTGCTTGGAGGCGAAGGCTCTGAGGAGAGGTTCCAATTTGGAAGGTTCTAGAAAGGGGGTGGAGAATAGGGTTATGTGAGGCCGTGACTCCATTTCGATTAGGTGTGTGCTGATTTGTCTCCGCGCGAGAACATTCCACGCTTTCAGAACCTGATTCTCAAGCGCTGGGTCTAGGTATAGTTCGATTGCGAATCCTTGCGACATTGCCAGATCTGCTTCAGGATTGGAACAAAACAAGAGAATGAAAAGTTGAAGAAGAGAGTGTCTGTGTGGTGGTTTGGTGGACAATTTATTAGTCCCACTGCTTCGAAGGTTTGCTCAAAATTTTGGGCTTTCTAAATGTTGGAAGATTAAAATTATAGAATTAAGAATTAGTTGATTAAAATTACATATTACTTTTTTTTTTTTTTTTTTTTTTTATGTTAAAATTTTTCTAAACCTTACGTAAAAGTTAGTTTATGGGAATCTGACAGGGTGACCAATATAGGTTTAATTGCTCATTATCTATCTCATCCTGTTGTCGCAGATTAGACAACACTGTTGAGGTGATATGATGAGGTCTGCTGGTGGCATATTGGGAAGAGAAAAGACGAACCAGAGTATCGAAATTATTTACGGATCTGAGTGGCAGTTGTGTGTACCAACTCAGGGCAGCCCCCTTGAGTGAAGTTGGGAATACCCGACACATGATGGCATCGTCATTCGTATAAAGGTTGATCTGGGTAACATATGCATCGATGTGCTCATCGGGATCTGTGGTTCCGTCATATCTGTCTATGTTCAACGGTTTCCAAGTGGGTGGAAGAGGAACTTCCATTATTTCATCAACAAATGGGTGTCGTCGAGTGGAATGTGGATCATATTCGGGACGACTGATGTGAGTATGTACAGATCGGTGAGTGTGAGTGTGAGTGGGTTCTGGTGGGTATGTAAGATCGGGAGAAGACTGATGTTCTTCTGCCGTAGGTGGAACATGGCTAGCATGATGAGTATATGGCAGTGGTTGATTTTGCTGCCATTGGTCTCGGAATGCGGCCTACTCAGCACGTAACTGTTGCAGATCGGCTTCGTGCTGTTTACGCAGATTCTCCATCGCGGTTGCGTGTTGTCGTTGCATTAGTTCTATCTGTTCAAGTAACCGTCGAAGGGTTGGATTATCTTCCATGTTCGGTGTGCTTGAACGTGGTACACTCGTTGCTCTATTGGTCTGACTTCGGGTTGAAACCATAAGGGTGAAGGAGGAAAAGTTTTACCAGGCCCTCCTTCTAGTGCCAAATGTACTTACACAAATTAGGTCGGATCCCTAACTCGGATAAGTCGTCTTCCTGGTTGGATTCAGCCAAGGTTGTGTGAGATCAGTCAATAGGTTAGGTTGAGTTCCTTCTCTCCGGTTTCCTTGCTCGAGCGTCTCGGATGTACCTACAAAAAGGACTTCGACGATCAAGTTAGTTACCATTTCATTGTCTATTCTCATACTTATCCTTTACCTGGGTTGTGCGGTTTTCCGATATAACTGCTATAGTGGTTATCCGAGGTGAGTTAACTAAAGTTGAGTTAGTCTTTATCGTCACATGTTATATATATATTTGATGTTGCTTATATGGTGAGGTGTCGGTCTTATTGACCTCGAAGTTTGCGTCAGTATACATATATGTTAATCAGTATATTACACCATGATCTCAGTATGAGCTCGGTCCTACTTCGGGGGTGGTACATAACATATTTGATTTATCATATCTTGAAATCTTAGTATATAATTAATGAAAGATTAAGGCTAATTGATAGAAGGTAATCACCCAGTGGTTTGCATAATGTCCACCTAATGAGCCTGACTCAAAAGTCCATCGTGGACAAGCAAATAAAGATTGCCCAGCTTAATTGAGCATGGTCGACAAGACACTATAATTACAAATTACAATAATATACACATGATACTAAATCTGAATCTTAATAATGTTATTATAATTTTTATAGATAAAAAATTATATATAAGTATTAATATATAGGATGTTATTTCTTTTAGTAATCATTTTTAATCTTCATATTTTGTTAAGGTATTATGCTTCTCAAATAATAAGAAAAATAGAAAATTAATTTTTTTATAACAACAATTATAAAAGAAAATAAAAGAATAATACAACTATATAAATAACCATTTATTCTATTATTTTATTTGTTATATTTAAAAATATTGAGAGACTTTGTACCTCTTGTCTAATTATTATTAAATAAATAGTTGACAAATCTTGGCTTTCCACCGAAAATGTAACATCCTGAATTTTCTACTAGTATAATGATTATTTATTATTTATTTGATATTTATGAAGATTATTTTCTTATAGCTATTTTAATGGGTTTTATAGAATGTTTTAAAGGTTTTTAATAATTATTAGTATTTTGATAATTAATTTATGAAAATTATTTTTGTAATATTTTGATTTTTAGTAGCCTAGAACGGGCCGTTCCAGACTACTAAAATAGTCTAAAAAGACTAGGTTGGGAATGAGTCGTTCCAACACACGATTTTGTGAGTAATATGCGAACCCAGAATGGGCCGTTCCAGAAGTGGACATTGTGGGTTAAGTGTAATCTCAGAACGGGCCGTTCTGGTTTGAGAACGGACCGTTCTAGATATGAAATTTGCATAGGACGAATGAGTCCAGAACGGGCCGTTCCGGATTCGAAACGGGCCATTTTGGACACATATGATGCCTACAAATAGAACGTTCTAGCACTCCAAAAATGCATTTTTTCACTTTTGACCTCTTTTCTTCTACACTCTCTGAAGACCAAGGGGAAGTCAGAGGAGGAGATTAGCAAGGTCTTGTTTTGGTTTCAGCTCCTACTTATCGAGGTAAGGGGGGAGTGAGAAACCTTGATCTGGGTGTGGGAATGTATGTTGAGTAGTGGGATTGGCCTCCAATCCTGTGTTTGTTGTATGCTCATGTATGAGGGGTTTTTCCCAATTGTATCTGTTTCATCTATTGTTCCTCTTGTATGTAATTAATTGTATGAATTGCTTGAATGAATGACTAATTTCAGTTTTAAAATTGTAATTGTATGATTTGAAATTTCTGTGGATTCCTACGAGAAACTCTATGAGAAGTAGACAAATTTTTAAATGTTATTTAAATATAAATGTATAATTTTGAGATCTCTGTGAGTTCTTATGAGAAACCCTAAATGAATGAATTTGTAATTGTAATAGACAAAATGTGAACATTTTCTGTTTTGCTTTCTAATTGCTCTATTGTGTTCCTTGTTGAATGAGATGAATGAATATGTTTTTAGTTTTGAAAATAAACAAGTTTTGATATGAATTAGAGTGCTCTGGTTCCTCTGAAAACCCTATGAGGAAAAAACTACCGAGTCTATTGGATTGCCGAGTCTTTTTCCGGACGACGTGACTAGTTTTCGGCGGAGAGCCGAGATTTGTCAACTGTTTATTTTATAATAATTAGACAAGAGGTACGAAGTCTCTCAATATTTTTAAATATATCAAATAAAATAATAGAATAAATGGTTCTTTATATAGTTGTATTATTCTTTTATTTTCTTTTATAATTGTTGTTATAAAAAAATTAATTTTTTATTTTCCTTATTATTTGAGAAGCATAATACCTCAACAAAATATGAAGATTAAAAATAATTACTAAAAATAACAAAAATTAAATAACATAATATTTTTTTATAATTGAAATATCAAACATGTTTAACTAGAGGGTACCACATCATAACTTAAACAGTAGCTTAATTAGCAGAAATTACAAAGAAATAATATAAGATCTTCATAAATAATTTAACAAAAACATTTTAATCTAATTCTATCTATGCCCCGATGTCACATGTCCTATCAGAGCAAATCCCAACATAAAAGTCTAAGCTTCATCACCAACATTCTCAGCCTCATACTGATAATTACCTGGAAAAAATAACACGAGAAAAGGGAATGAGAAACATCTCACTCTAGCTCACAGTGTAAGAATATATACTAGATAGCCAAACACAAACAACACATATATAACATAGATAAATTAATAATAATATCACATTTCACTCATCCAAGACATATTAATTTTTCATATAACATTAAAATGTACATGTATGGACACGGACTACATTTTATCATGCATGTGGCCCAGTAACATATTACATGACATATTGCCGCTAGCAATATATGAAGAGTAGTCTAGGGACTAGGAGTACATGCTGGGTCACACCCTCTGTGCAACTTAGATTGAGCGACTTAGATTACTCCTTTTGTAGTAGTGATATGTTATATACAGATATAAATCAATATACTTCTTTGAAAAGTTTTAGAAAATTTTTTCAAGGCCAAGAAAGTCGAGTGAGAAATTTAAAAAAAAAAAACCAATTCACCTTTCCTCCCCCTTGCCTTGGTTAAGTCATTTTTTCTAACAACATCAACCACAACATAAGCATAAGTACATGTAACAACAGTATTAAAATATAAGTAAAACAATATGACTTCAATTAATAACAATATAACAACATCACACCATCATAAGCATACTCATTCACTCAATGTATTGGACATGAACTTATCTAGATCCACATGAATGTGGTGCTAAGGATTTCATAACTCGATGGCCTAAAAACGAATTACTCATGGAATGAAGGCAAATTCTCATAGTGATGATCAATACATTCTTCATATAAAAGACTCTATGCAACACTTTATCTCATGGATTCAACTCATGCATACACATCATCATGTTAGTCCCTGTTTACAAGAATCTAAAAGGGGGGTTGAATAGATTGTATCCTAAGATGACTATATTTTCAAATTTTCTTGATTTTAACCTACCAAGATATTCAATACTCAACCTTTAATCAATTTGATTTAACAAATTATAGTATATTACAAGGAACAATACCAATATACCATAATTTCAATGTTAACGCAGTAAATCAATCACTTGTAATCAAGGTTGATTTTATATTACCAACTTCTTAGTTAATTTCAATTAAAAGAATAGTATTAAGATTATGTATGAAATTGAAATAACAAATCTCATAAATTTTTGAACTCTTTAATCAGATTCATAACAAGATTATTAAAGAGATATAGGGTAAGAAGATAAAGAACGCAAAAATTTATAGTAGTTCCTTCCACTTGGCTTACATCCAGTTTTTTCTGATTTAGCACCTCACTAAATCAAAGATCATTCACTATAATATTGTTATAAACACTATGCACACATAATATTACAATAATGCTAACACACATCAATCTTGACATTACAAGACTGAAATCCTTTGGGATGTGAATGTTATATCCTAAACACTAAGGACCAATTGG